ATATATATATTATATATATTATTAATATTTAAATTTTTAAAACTAATTCTCAAAACTAATAAACAAAAAATTAATTTATTTTCAGATGTTAAAAACAAAAGAATAGAATTCTTTCAATTGTTCTTCAAAGTTTATGAAGTTTTAAAATATGTTTTGTTCCATGTCTAATTAAATATGTTGTTTCCATTGTCTTTGTAATCTTCCTAAAGAAAATATTTAAAAATATTCTTCACTAGTATAAAAATATCATTATAAAATAAATTATTTTGTATGGCTAAAGAAATTTTCTAATTTTTAAATTGATATATTTTACTTATCTTGAATTATATATTTATATTTAAAATTGAAAAATATTAACTTTTATATTTGTAAAGTTTAAAAATTTCATTAGAAAATTTAAAACTTTGAAATTTTTTGCATTCAAATATTGTTAGGAAACAAAGAAATTTTCGTAATTATTGATATTCTAAAATAAAATTTGAACATTGTATAATTTTATAATTGATATATTTCGCTTGAACAAGTACGGAACAAGAAGGACAAAGTAAAAGAAGAGTAGAAATAAAAAAAAAAACTAAAAAATATAAAATCGTTTCTAGAATATCAAGAATGAAAAAAAATAGATAAAAAAAAAAAAATAGCAGAAAAAGATAAAAATAATCTTATCTCTAATAGATAATATATAAAATAAAATAAAAAATATTATTTTTTCGAGATCAATTCGATATTAATTTGATAATTAATAAATATAATGTTATATATGTTTATCTTATATTGTTTGTAATTTCATATTTTTATTAATTATCAAATATAAATCGTGAATTGTAAATTTTTGTTTAGTATTTATTTAATAGCACTATTCGTTTTAAAAGTATTCAAAATGAACACTGTTAATATAAAAAAATGTTAGTTATTAAATTGTATATAATTATTAAGTATATATATTGTAATTTAAATTTTCATTACATTGCAGAAATACTAACTGATGTCTAGTAGAATTTTCTAAACTTGAAACTAATAAAATCTATGAAGTTAATTCTTCGAAAATAAATAAATCATGAATAAACGTAAATCACAAATTACTAAATAATTAACTAGATAAACTAGATAAAATAATAAACTAGATAACATAATACCAAAATTATTTATATTATTATATAAAATTAACTTTTACTATTGATTCCTATTTTCAAAACAATGAGCTATTTAATTCTTTTAATATTTAAATATATATGTGTATAATTATGTTTGTTATTATATTTTTTGTTTTTATTCATTTTAACAACGAATAATTTTATGAATTAATTAATATGAAAAAAGAAAAGATATTTTTTATTTCATATTTCAAAATCATAAATTAAATTTTTTTTTTCACTTTTTGATCATGTATTTTTATTTATACGGTACAGAATATATAAATATAAAACATTATTAAATACTATAAAATATAAAATAATTAAATTTTAATTTGTTACCAACATTAAAGTCGATAATTCTATTTATAATTTTGATTCATCTGATCATGATTCATCTTTTAAATTATTAACTAGGGAAATACCCGTTGTAAAAAGTACTGTAGTAGATATATAAGAACAAATCATTTCTGACATTAATTTGTAAAACATAAATCATTTTTACTAATACATTTTTTTATTTTTAATAAGAATTTATTTTTAATTTCTTCAGGTACGTAATAATTATAAAATATATGATCTATTTAGAAGAAATTAGTTTTTATTAAGTAAATAAAATTAAAATGTATATATACATATATAAATTTTATGTTAAAAAATATATCGATAAAATAATTAATTAATATTATTTAATTTTAAATATATATAAATATATATATATATATATATATATATATTTTTTAAAAGATATATATTTCTTTTTGTAATAATTGTAATAATAATTATTACAATGATCATTATTAATTATTGTAATATTTATTTAATGATTAAGTTTTTTATATTTTTATATATCAATAAAATATTTTTATTTTGTTAATTATATATTTATATATTATTATTATATTAACATAATATTATATATTATAGTTTATAAAACTAAAAAATTCAATTTTTTTTAACTTATTTTAGATATACATTGTTAGAATATAAATCTGATGACAAAATGAATATATATGTAAGACCTCCTGATCCTTTATCTGATAATGGAGATATTGCTCAAAATTGGAAGCAATGGAAAAAAGATTTTATGATATTTATGAATGTAACTAATTCAATGGATAAACCAAAAGAACAACAAGCTTATCTTTTAAGAAGTTATATAGGAAAAATTGGTCAAAATGCTATAGAAAAAATTATTTCAACCAATTTGAAAGAAAGAGATGATATGAATGTATTATTAGCAAAACTTGATAAATATTTTTGTCCTTCTAAAAATGAAGTTATTGAAAGATATAATTTCTTTAATTCAAAAAAAAAAAAAGATGAATCTATTGAAACTTATATCACTCAGTTGAAGGTAAATATTAAAATAATTTCTATACTTTTTAATATATATTTTTTAAATACATACTTGTTTTTAGAGTAAAGCAAAAACTTGTAACTTTGGAAAAATAACAGAGAGTTTAATTAGAGATAAAATAATTATGGAAATCAATGATAAAAATCTAAAAACAAAAATTTTTAATACAGAAAATCTCAATTTATTAACATTAATAAAAATTTTTAATGAACATCAAAATTTGCAAAAAAAAAAAGAAGAAAACAAGATAAAAAATGATACAAGAAGTGATAATGCATCTTTTAAAAATACACCTAAGATTGTTAAAAATTTTGATGAAAAAACTAATAGTTCAAATAATAATGAAAAATCAATAAACATGCAAAATAAAAGGAATTGTAAAAAATGTAACCAAAGACATCCTATAAAAGCTTGTCCTGCTTGGGGTTTGAAATGTGAAAAATGTGGCATGTACAATCATTATACTAATTGTTGTCCAACTCAATTTAATGAAAAAAAAGAAGTAAATATATTTTATTTATTACACATATCAATTTTTTTTCTTTTATTAATATAATTGTATTTTTGTTATAATAAATTTTAGCAAAAATCAAATATTGCTGGTAATATGAATTTACAAAAAGAAAATTTACAGGTAAAATATTGAGAAATAATATTACATTTTAAACCATTTATATTTAAATAAAAAAATAATAAAAAATTTTCTTATAGATTCCTAGTGCTCCACCACTTTTGGATATTGATCCTAGATTATACCCAAATTTAGATCATGTAAAAATATCTCAAGAAAGAATGGTATAATTAAAAAAAGAAAAAAATAAAATATACATAATAATAGCAATTTTTTTACTTTTTTCTTTCTTTTTTTTTTTAAGATATGTAGTCAACATACAATTTCATCGACACAGCCAAATCCATGGTCATGGATAGAGAATAAAAATAAAATCATTAATGAAAATTTACAAAATAATAATAATTCATTGGTAAGTTTTTTTTAAATTTTTGTATATATAGTTTATTAAATTATTAAAGTATTTTATTTTTACATAAGCCTTCAGTATCAAATATCAATACCGGATATGAATATAATATGGAAATTCCTGAAGTAAAAAAAGAAAGCACTAGTAACATTGATCAAAATAAAAATATTTCTAAAAATGAATGTCGAATATCATAGAAAAGCATGTAAGATATTTTAATTATATTATTGTATAACTTAATATTTTTTATAATATGATACCTTTGATCATTTATTTTAAAAATAATTTAAAAAATTGTGATATTAAATAAAAGAATATATTATATGTAACAATAAATTTTAATTTTAATTTATTACATTGGTCCCTAATTAAAAATTAAATTATTTCTATGAATATTAATTTAAAAAAAATGGCACATTAAATATGAATTATAATAGATTAATTTTTTAATTACCAGTATTTAAATATCAAAAAATCAATTAAAATAAATATGTATAATTTGTTATTTGTCTTCAATTTAAAAAATATCATATTTATTTGATTTCCGAATAATATGAAATATAACATTAAATGATACAACTTGTTAACAAAAATAAATAAAGCACAAATCTCTTTGGTATGAGACTTACATAATAATTGTAATTAAAAATCTTGTATAATATTTTATAATTAAAAAATAAGCATTCTTGTTACATGTTTACATTTTGAAAAATACAGCAATTCTGTCAAATGATATAGTGTTTTATAAATTTATATGATTGTGTGAAGAAATATAAAAATTTATTATATTATAAATTAATATTATATTATGTCATGAAAACTAATAAATAAATATGCGATATTTCTATATGTACTGATTATATACTGCATGATATAAATGACGTTTTTTTCTATTTCATGTCTCTCATTATCTTAAATAATTTAACATTTTACAAGATCTTGTCAACTTCATAAACAAATTATTATTTAATTATACTAATAAATCACAATTTAAAATGATTAAGTAGAATAGTAGAATAGTTTAGATATTAATAATACTATAGTATAAAATCAAGCTTTTAAAGAAAACAGATATTAAAAAAGTATTTTAAATATAAAAACAGTTTTTTTTAAATTTTATCTATGTTAAAAAATATTAGCAACATTTATAAAATTTATAAAATTAGTAAAATTTGTTTAAAAATGTTATTAGAAAAAAATGTTATAGAAAAAAATTATAGAGATAAATATATGTTATTATAGAGATAAATACATCTTATAAAAATCTATAAAAATACATTAATTGTAATATCTGCCTCTTAATAAACATATTATGCATAATTTATATGTATATATTATAATGTATATAAAGTCTTTTATAATTGAAAGACTTTGATGTCAATGGCATTAGTAAATATGCAAAATATATTAACTAATATTTTAACTTTTTAATATTAAATATAAATATATATTAAACTTATACTTTACATAAATATATTTATAAAATATCAAAAAATGAAAAATGTATATAAAAAATGTTTTTATTTAGATATATAAAAATTGTAAAACTTTTTTAAAACTTTTTATATCTTTTTCAAATTTAATAATTTAAAAATTTTTCAATTGAATGAAATAAAAATAGATATGTCTAATCTTATTAAAATATAAAATATTAAATCTAATTTTTATTACATTTGTTATGTTACTAAAATTATGTTAAAAAATCATATATTTCACTGTTATTTTTAACAGTGATAAACACTTTTTTATGTACATAAAAAGAAAAGGTACATAATAGAATATAAATGGTAACTCTTTAATTTCCTATTATATAACTAAAATCTATGTATATAAATATTATGACATATAATTTTCAGTATACTGGCAAGACACATGGTCATCAAATAATTTGAATCAAGTTACGGACGGGTCTTGACTAAAATTATCTATATCTGAAGAAAGTATAAGTTTATTTAAATTATAAGGTGGTCTTTTTGGTTTCGGAGGAGGAGTAGGTGGTTTCGTTTGAATATCAAGATCATCAGTAGGAGTTGGTAATTTGTTTTTTGACCATTGTCCTAATGACCGGTTAAAATTATTTAAACTACCTGTTCCATAATGTTGAATAGGTAATTCTTCTGGAAGATTACAATAATCAGCTTCGCGAGTTTTCATAGGTAAAGGTGGAGGTGGATCATCTTCAGAGGCTGTACTATCTGTGGTGCCAATACTGTCTCTATTTCCTTTCCCTAAGCTACTCAAATCCATTCCATTATTTATATTCCTTAAATAATGTTGAGATTGTCCAGACAGGCGATTACTTATTCTTCTTTCTTTTTCTACTTCTGATCTTAAAGGACGTTTAGGAGTTAACTAGAAAAATTTTAATAATATTTTTTATTTTGTTATTATTATTATTATTATTATTATTATTATTATTGTTATTGTTATTATTATTACTATTACTATTATTACCATTATTATTATAACAATATTAATTATACCGAAATGTTACCTCTTGACGAAGTTCAAATTTCGGAGTAGAAAGAAAATTAGATATTGATGGAGTAGCAGGAATTGATGTAATTTGTGATACATCTGTTGTAGTGTACCATTGACTCGTCGGTTGATCATTTTTTGTCGATGCAATTGAATCACTTTTGCGTGAACTTCTTCGCTTTGAATCTTTCTTTTTATTTGTTCCAGGACTTGGACTTCCTAATGCCTTTTGTAAAGATGCCGTTGACAATATGTGTGAACGTATTGAAGAATTCCTGTACAATAATAATATTTATTACTATCTAATTATCTATATCTATTTATATTAATATTTAGAGAATATCTATTTATATTAATAATTAAAATTTTAATATTATACTAATATAATAGCACACTATTTACCTATTTAGCATAATAGTCGGTTGTGTTATAGAACTTGTTTTATCCAGGGACAAACATGGTAATATAACAAATAATACAAAAAATATCATGCAAATAAAAATAGAATAAAAGAAGAAAAAATGAAATAATATATAAATATTATTTTTAAGATATATATGTATATATGTATATATGTAATATTTTTTCTTGTTTTTTTTATTTTCAATTTTTAGAAGCATTCTTATAAAATATTTGATTAATTTAAATAATATAAAAATAGTTAAATAAAAAATAATTTTAAAACAATATGTTAAATGACTTATAAGTCAAAAAGTAAGATATAAATAAAGATTTGTACACATATATACACATGTGTATATATACAAAAACTGCTAGGTATGGAGAAAGGATAATAGGATATTGTGTTTATCAGATCCAACAGCAAAATTCCTGAAATTATAGATAAATTATTCTAATATCTATTCGAAATATGAAAATGAAATTAGAAAAATGTTTTTAGATTAATATTTAACCAATTTTTTTGTCAAAATAATCAATTATTAAATAATTTATTTAAAAATAAACTTTTAATCAAATTATATTATTATATATTAATTATATCAATAAACAAATATTATGATATAAACAAATAGTATGAATATATAAAATAGTACATATAAAAATAAAAAAAAAATATATAACATAAAATTGAATAATATTGACAATAAATTTAAAAAACTATGTATAAAGTAAAAAAGAAACCAAACAAGTTAATTATAGCATAAATATTTTTATGCATCATTATCATCATCATAATATCTTTACCTTGACAAACTGATGTTTTGAATGCCAGATGAAGGCGTGCTGTTATTAAAATTGAATGAGGCGAGCGACTTGAATGTTGCAACTTGGGATCTTGTAAGAGAGGATACCCTGGAGTGAGTTCCACAGCTGAACGAGATAATTACAAAGTAACCACATAACATTATATAAAAAATATGACAAAATTATGTAGGAAGCATTTTACATGTTTTTATATGAAATTTGTGTTATGAATTTTAGTCAACTTTTTTTTTGCATGCATATCAATTATAATAAATATAAATAATATTTTAAAACAAACGTAATTATAATCCCATGATAAAAATAATGCAATTTAATAATATAGAAAGAAATCAGCAAAAATGTTAGTACAAATATTTGCAGAAAAGTTGTAAAAAATTACATGATATTATACATTAATATATTATTATACAAATATACATTACTTACTCTGTATTTATATTTGATTCAGATAATCGATGAATTTCGCCTCTTGAAGCTTGATGTCGTCGCATCGTAACAGATTGAGTTAAATTTTCAATTTGTAAATCACATGTCTATAATACATATATATAATTAATTTTTTTTAAAAAATATATATACATATATATAATTTTTTCAAAAATTTTTTTAATAAAAAACATAAATATCTTACTCTTTTTCCGTATTTTGCTTCTACTTGATTTCGCATTGATGCAAAACATTGTTCCAAACGCTGATGAAACGGAGTTAATTCAGGTGGAGCACGCATTTTATGTAATTGAACACCAATACTTAATAATGGAATTTGTTCAGCAATTAATCCTTCCAATTTCAAAAGATCAGAACTTTCTTCTAGATGGGAATTGCGATATTCAGAATTGAGAAATGCTTTCTCATAATTATCTATACCACCCATAACTGCTGGATCTAATATACCATTTAATTTCATGCTAAGCGGATTTAATGGAAGATTATTATCAGCTTTATGTGCTAAGATCAAATCTCTTAATGCAATATTTGTAGCTTCCATTGTTTCAATTGCATTACGAAGAGGACTAACTAAATAAGTTTCACTGGATGTAACAGGAAAACATCTAAGAATACCCGGCAACGGATGACTCGTAACGAGTACTGTTCTTTCTAACCATAACGAAGCAAATTCATTATTAATAATAGTATTCATATCTTTTTCTTTATCACCAGAATTTATAGTAGTTGAAATTACATCTTTCTTTGGTGCTGGTCTTGAAAAGCGGAAACGCTGAACATCGTTTACTCGATGATATCTTAAATATATATTTATTTGATTTTAAAAAAATTTTAAATTTCATGAATTTCATAAATATATGTTATTAAATCATATTTTACCTCAATACTGCCTCTGCAGTTATAGGTTTTCCACTAAGTCGGTGTCTTTTCTCATCCATTAATGGATCTACTCTATTGATTTGAACATATTGATGATTGGATTCTAACATTTCCGAAGTAGGAGGAGATAATTTATTCATTTGTTCTGCATTTGGTAACTGATTTAATGTTCGTGAACAAAAATCACTGAGACGTTCATATTCTTTCCCGCGATAAATAAATACCTGATTGATTAATCATAATTAATTAAGCAGCGTGTGTGTGTCAAATAATTAATTATAGATACAGAAATTT